CAGAAAGGAAGAAAGGAAGAAAGGAAGACAGGAAGAAAGGAAGAAAGGAAGAAAGGAAGAAAGGAAGAAACGAAGAAAGGAAGGAAGGAAGAAGGGAAGAAGGCAAGAAAGGAAGACAGGAAGACAGGAAGAAAGGAAGAAAGGAAGAAAGGAAGAAAGGAAGACATAATGAAAGGAAGAAAGGGAAAGGGGAACACAGGAAGAATGGAAGAACGGCAGAAAGGAAGAAAGGAAGAAAGGAAGACAGGAAGAAAGGAAGAAAGGAAGAAAGGAAGAAAGGAAGAAACGAAGAAAGGAAGGAAGGAAGAAGGGAAGAAGGCAAGAAAGGAAGAAAGGAAGAAAGGAAGACAGGAAGGCAGGAAGAAAGGAAGAAAGGAAGAAAAGAAGAAAAGAAGAAGGGAAGAAGGGAAGCAAGGAAGAAAGGAAGAAAGGAAGGGAGAAGGGAAGAAGGGAAGCAGGAAAGCAGGGAAGAAGGGAAGAAGGGAAGAAGGGAAGAAGGGAAGAAGGGAAGAAGGGAAGAAGGGAAGAAGGGAAGAAGGGAAGAAGGGAAGAAAGGAAGACAGGAAGAAGGGAAGAAGGGAAGAAAGGAAGAATGGAAAGAAAGGAAAGAAGGGAAGAAAGGAAGAAAAAGAAGACAAGAAGAAAGAAGGACAGGAAGAATGGAAGAAAGGAAGAAAGGAAGAAAGGAGGAACGGAAGAAGGGAAGAAGGGAATAACGGAAGAAAGGAAGCAAGGGAGAAAAGGAAGAAGTTAAGAAGTTAAGAAGGGAAGAAGGGAACAAAGCAAGAAAGGAAGAGGAAGACAGGAAGAAAGGAAGAAAGGAAGAAGGGGAGAAAGGAAGCAAGGAAGAAAGGAAGAAAGGAAGGGAGAAGGGAAGAAGGGAAGCAGGAAAGCAGGGAAGAAGGGAAGAAGGGAAGAAGGGAAGAAGGGAAGAAGGGAAGAAGGGCAGAAGGGAAGAAGGGAAGAAGGGAAGAAGGGAAGAAGGAAAGAAGGGAAAAAGGGAAGAAGGGAAGAAGGGAAGAAAAAAAGGAAGACAGGAAGAAAGGAAGAAAGGAAGAAAGGAAGAAAATAAGAAAAGAAGAAGGGAAGAAGGGAAGAAAGGAAGAAAGGAAGAAAGGAAGAAAGGAAGAGAAGAAGAAAGGAAGAAAGGAAGACAGGAAGACAGGGAGAAAGGAAGAAAGGAAGACAGGAAGACAGGGAGAAAGGAAGAAAGGAAGAAAAGAAGAACGGAAGAAGGGAAGAATGGAAGAAAGGAAGACAGGAAGACAGGAAGAAAGGAAGAAAGGAAGACAGGAAGCCAGGAAGAAAGGAAGAAAGGAAGACAGGAAGAAAGGAAGAAGGGAAGAAGGGAAGAAGGGAAGAAGCGAAGAAAGGAAGGAAGGAAGGAGAAGGAAGGAAGGAAGGAAGGAAGGAAGGAAGGAAGGAAGGAAGGAAGGAAGGAAGGAAGGAAGGAAGGAAGGAAGGAAGGAAGGAAGGAAGGAAGGAAGGAAGGAAGGAAGGAAGGAAGGAAGGAAGGAAGGAAGGAAGGAAAGGAAGGAAGGAAGGAAGGAAGGAAGGAAGGAAGGAAGGAGGGAAGGGAAGGAAGGAAGGGAAGGAAGGAAGGAAGGAAGGAAGGAAGGAAGGAAGGAAGGAAGGAAGGAAGGAAGGAAGGAAGGAAGGAAGGAAGGAAGGAAGGAAGGAAGGAAGGGAAGAGCGGAAGACCGGAAGAAGGGAAGAAGGGCAGAAGGGAAGAATGAAGGGAAGAAGGGAAGAAGGGAAGAAGGGAAGAAGGGGAACGAGGACGAAAGGAAGAAAGGAAGAAAGGAAGAAGAAAGGAAGAAAGGAAGAAAGGAAGAACGGAAGAAGGGAAGAAGGGAAGAAGGGAAGAAAGGAAGCAAGGAAGACAGGAAGAAAGGAAGAAAGGAAGAAAGGAAGAAGGGAAGACAGGGAGACAGGACGACAGGAAGAAAGGAAGAAAGGAAGAGAAGAAGAAAGGAAGAAAGGAAAACAGGAAGACAGGGAGAAAGGAAGACAGGAAGAAAGGAAGAAAGGAAGAAAGGAAGAAAGGAAGAAAGGATGACAGGAAGACAGGAAGAAAGGAAGAAAGGAAGACAGGAAGGCAGGAAGAAAGGAAGAAAGGAAGACAGGAAGAAAGGAAGAAAGGAAGACAGGAAGACAGGAAGAAAGGAAGAAGGGAAGAAGGGAAGAAGGGAACAAGGGAAGAAGGGAAGAAGGGAAGAAGGGGAAGAAGGAAGAAAGGAAGAAAGGAAGAAAGGAAGAAAGGAAGAAAGGAAGAAGGGAAGACGGGAAGGAAAAAAAGGAAGGAAGGAAGGAAGGAAGGAAGGAAGGAAGGAAGGAAGGAAGGAAGGAAGGAAGGAAGGAAGGAAGGAAGGAAGGAAGGAAGGAAGGAAGGAAGAAGGGAAGAGCGGAAGACCGGAAGACCGGAAGAAGGGAAGAAGGGGAAGAAGGAAGAAAAGGAAGAAAGGAAGAAAGGAAGACAGGAAGGCAGGAGGAAAGGAAGAAAGGAAGACAGGAAGAAAGGAAGAAAGGAAGACAGGAATCGCAATGAAGAGCGGAAGAGCTCAAGAGTGGGGCCGGAAGGCTGAAAGGCAGGAAGGCAGGAAAGCAGGAAGGCAGCCTCACTCTTTACTGGAGCAATGACTTTCGGAAAGGTTTTCCACACTGGAAGCTTTACATGTGGCTCGAACTTGCCGAGGTTTGGCGCTTGGGTCGATACAGTGCAAGTGGAAAGCTGTTTTGGATCTAAGCTGTGACTCGTTTGTTTCAGAGAAAATTGCATCACTCATTGCCCTCCGAGCTTCTATCGGCCTTTTTCCGTACCAGAGGCTCGGCGGAGGCTCTTTGAAAAGCAACCGGATATATTTTCGCCCGGATTTTTGTGATTTGTGAGCCCAGATCTCGCGAGGTTTCAGGCCTTTGAAAGCAAATGGATATATACACATATATATATATATATATATTTGCGACCTCTTTTCCGACCTGTGAGCGCAGATCTTCCCTTGAGATGTTTCTCGGGCCGGGCGTTTCACCGAGGCATGGGCTTCTGGTGGGCTTCTGGCTTCAGTTGTTTTTCTTTTTTTTTCTTCCACATTTTCCCCCTTTTCCCCCCCCCCCCCCCTTTTTTTTCTTCTCCGGGATTGAAATCAAATGCCCTCCTATTTGAATCATCATTTTTTCGACTCCGTCAACCTGCTAGCTACTTTTGAGATTTTGTTACCCATGATTTGTTGGTGATGCTGGGGATGTTGGCCGGACATGCGGGGGATGTTGAAAACGATGCTGGGGATGTTGACGGGCTAGTGGAAAATACGACAATTTCGCGAGAAAACGCTGTAAAATACGAAATTTTTCTGGCCCGGACGAAAAACGACAAAACAAAAAGAAGAAAACACACAAAAAGAGAAAACAATTCCCGAAATAAATCTGCACCCTTTCCTGAACCTGCTTCTTTTTGGGAAGACCACATTTCAGCGTAAAAGCAACAACAACCGTTTATTTTCGACCTCGTTTCGCTCCCTGTGAGCGCAGATCCTTGAGAGATTCTTCTCGGGGGCGTTTCGAGGCCTGGGCTTCTGGTGGGGCTACGCGCTGTGGTCCAAGCTGTCGAAGGGCCCCAGCTACGTGCTCGCCACTCTGCCGGGCCTGCGCCCGGGCGCCGATGCCGGGGGCCCCGGGGAGTCGATGCGGAGCGCGTTTTTTTTTTTTTTTTTTTTTTTCCTGATGCGGGGAAGCCACAAAAAAAACACGGGGGCCGGTGAAGAGTGAGGTTGGACCGGTTGACTTGGGTTGTTTTTTGTTTGTTTCCGGCTCAGCTAGGTACAGATGATCAACATGCAGCAGCCGCTGATGCTGCAGTCTGCATGAAGATCACGGGCCCCCGAGCTGCTCGGTGTGCGGTGGGACGAGATGACTTTTGTCCTTGGATGGAGCGCCGTTCGAAGACCCTCGACTCCGAACATTCCAGACTCCTGCACTCCTTCCGTTTGCGAAATATTATTCTTCATTTTCCCCTTTTGGTTATCAAGGGAATCTATCACAACTGGAATTATGTTGTTGTTTTTTCCAGGGGGGACAAGCAAATAGAAGAATCGCACACCCCGACATCGAAAGACTTGGATTCCATAGCTGGCGTCCGGTGCCGAACCGAGAACAAAGAGCCAGTCGATTTTCAAGAACTTCTTTATCATTTATTTGTGTCAAGAACTGCAAATGCTTAGCGCAAATCGGCATCGTGCCCTCATTTTGAAGAACTGCAAAGAATGACAGTGTATAGTCATTTTGGTTGACCATGCTCTATTTTCCTTTGCCTTTTTCTATGAAGGCGTGGTTGCCCCCATCCCGGATTCCCCAAAGTTCTGAATACTGAGCTCGAAGCAAAATTAAAACTAAAACGCGAATCCAGCGGTGTTTTTTTGCGACCTCAAGTTGCAGGGGTCCGTAGCAAGCCAACGAACACACAATCCAAGCGCGAACTATGTCTGCAAAGAATCCTTACCGTAAATCCGCCGTGAGCAATGTTTGGGCCTGGGAAAGGGGGACGCCAAATTTGGACGAGAAGAGGAGTGAACCAGGGGCCTTCAAAATATACCACACACGTATCTTTTCAAGCGAATCTTTATTTATCAGGGGGGATATATTATTTTTGGTTTCGCGGGACTTCTTTCGCTTCTTGGATGATGCAATTGTCGGGATCTGTGGCTAGGGATGCCTTCTTCGGGTATTGGCGTTTCACTCTTCACTTGTAGAGATGTGGTGGATCAATATCCCCCCCAGAATAGACCATGGCACTTCTTCCGTTTAGTGGGACATACCGGCTTCTGTTTTGTGGTCTTTCTAATGGTCAGGCAACGGACTTCTGCTCAAGGTGCATGCTATTGCTTCGACTCCACATTCTGGAAGCAGGCCTGTTCACCAGGATCAGATTTGGCTCAAGGCTTGGAAAGTCTTTGGCTACCGAACCGCCATACTTCGCATATGTCTTTATCTGCGTGAAGAAAACAATGAAGCGGATTGTTGCAATCCTGCTAAGCAACCTCTTGTGTACAAGTGCAAAGGACTGTGAAGCCGGCTGTGGGATCTCATTGTTGCAAACTCAGCTCCGCCTTGGCCGGACGGCGCCGGTCTTGAAACCGGTGGGTCGGAGCTTCTTCTCCGAAAACCCGGCCAACTCGGCGAATTGGTGGCTGAGGTATACGACCGCGAAGCCCATCTCAGGTGGAGAAACTGTGGGTTGGAGCCAAAGCTCCGAGAGTGCAGCTGTCCTGGTGGACCGAACTACGCAAAGCGGGCTCGAGGGAGTCGAAACGTTGTACTTCCTGAAATCCGCGGACTGGCAAAGTTCTGGGAAGCTCGGGATGAAGGATTTCGTCCAGGCCGCCAACCTGTCCTGGAGGTCTGTGATGGAGCGAGACCGGGCGTACACCCCGTGGGTGGACTTTCATGACGGCCACTGGGTGGAGACTCTTCGCTTCGACCGGCTTGAGGCGGACATGCTCCCCTTCCAAGTTTACCCCCTGGGCTTCGTGGGCAGAGGTTACGTGCCGCACACCACCTTGACCATGGAGTGGCTGGGCCCCATGCGGCCCCACTCCGAGCAGTACGCCAAGATGGTCGGCTTCGAGCAGCCGGACAAGTGCCGCGACATCAGCAAGGACCGGATTCCAGAGGTCACCTTCTGGAAGAGCACCTTCGCAGTTCTCAACGCCTCGGCGGCCAAGGACTTTGCCGTGGACCTGCTGCAAGCGGAGGAGGTGGCCCCGAATCCCTTTCCGTGGCCCAGGCAGCCCGACTGCATTGCGGTGCAATGGGTCGCCTTGCCACAGGCCTTCGGAACATTTCAACTCCATTTTGTGGAGGATTTTGTCTATGACACGGTTCTTCACGGCATCCCTGAATATCTCCAGCACCAGCGCGAGTTCTTAAAGACGGGGACGACAGAATGCATCAACAGCTTCATGCTCAACAATCTCATTCTGGAGACCAGCTCACTTGACCCTTTTGCCCGACGTTTGGAGGAACTCTCGGTTCCCTATTTTGCTTTTGAGATCAAAGAGAGATATGCCCTCCTCTTCTCATTTCCGGGAAATGAGGGTGTGACTCTACAGCTTCAAAGCGCTCATCTGAGCCATGTTGTGCCACGGCCTGTGCAGATTTGCACATAGGCCCCGGTTTTTCGCCGCTTTTGAAGGAAAACGGCAGTGAGCCATGCCCATTCACCGCAATTTCCTGGTAGCCTCCTCACGCGCCATTTGGATCCGTGCCAACTAGCAAACATTCAGCGTCACCTTGGATACACGACACATTTGGATACGCAAAACATTCACATTGGAATTTCAGAAGCTGTAGAGTCTAGGAAGAACTGTCCGAAGTAAGGCTATATCAACATTGGTGACAAAGACTGTCCACAGCAATGCAAGATGGACACTCCTTCAATTAAAAAATCATCGACCCCGCTACAGAAGCAATGAAAGACATATTCCTGGCCCCCAAATGACCCTGGGTAACTTTTTCCATTTAGTGGGACTTTTTTTTTTGCGGTTTCCCAGCCAGTGGTCATCCTATGTATATCGGACCTGTTGATCAACCCCCACATGCATTTTTGTTCGAATCAATGTGCTATTGTGACTTCCAGGGCTCCTTTTCCCCTGAATGGTGGGATATGCCGAGCTTTGTGTCAGGTGGTCCAAAGGCTCTCAACGGACGCGGGGAGGGAGTTGGCAGAGCGCTTGCCGAGGCGAGAAATTGGCGATCAGCTGACGCCGCCCAGAGGAGTTTCGGCGGAAGCGAAAAAAGCTCCTCGCAGCTTCGTGGGCTGCGAGCCATGCCACGCCATGCCACGCCATGCCACACCATGCCACGCCATGCCACGCGCGACTTTCGTTCTTTTTCGTCTCGCTTGGTACGCTGCCCCGTCAGGCGGATGCTTCGTGCCGAGTCTCTCTGTGAGCCTTGCGATTCTCATGGTTCCTGGCATCAGACACCCGCACACCAGGAACGCATGTCATGGGAGCGGCGAGCATATGGCTGTGGGTCAAACATATGTACCCATTTTTGGAACCCTGGTAAATGGAACCAAAGACTAAAACATGCGGTTAATTTTGACCCATACCCATATACCTCAAATGGACATACAGGGATGCATTTTGGGGGTCCATTTTGGTACCGGTTTTTTGAGCCACAGCCATATGTCTCGGGTTCTTGGAGTGGCATCGAGGAGCCGACCTGTGACCCAGGTGCTCGGTGAGGTCATTGACCTGTTCTGCCGCGAGCGCTCCTGCCACAGCATCACAAGGACGACTTTGTTCGTGAGACAATGGGTATATGTCCATTTGAGGTATATGGGTATGGGTCAAAATTAAACCATCAGGAATTGGACCACAGGTTTTAGTCCATGTTTCCATTCACCAGGGCAAGCCATTTTGGGTACCGATTTTGCACCCACGGCCAAATGGGTGTGGGTCAAAACCAATGGGATCCCATTTTGGGGGGTAGGTGCACCACCCAGTTTAGAACCTATTTAGTGGGGATTGGGATGTTCACTGGGGGTACGGGATTTTGACCCATGGCCAAATGGGTATGGCCAGCATTGGTCGCTAGGAGCATCATCGGATGCGATCGGCTGCAAGCGGGTGCAGCAGGATGCCAAGACGCGGGGATGTCCGGTTCATAGGTCAGGAGTGTCCCAGGGATAGAGGCAACCCTGGCTTGTCTATCCGGCAGTTTGACTCCTCCAGTGGCTTGTTTGGTTCATAGAAGGAGGAAGAGGTTCTGAAACAAGTGACCCAAACGATCCCGGCAAATGACAGAACGGCCGCATTTGACTCAACCTCCCTGAAAACCCTAAACCAACCCTAAAAACCCTGCATTGACCCTGAGCAACCAAAATCTCTGATGACTAAGCCTAAAGCCCAAAAACCCTAAACCTCTAAACACCACACACCTGACCCTAAAAACCCGACTAAGCCTTAAGACCCACAAACATAAACCCTAACAAATACAAACCTAAGCCCTAAAAACCCCAAACCTAAACCCTAAGAGCCACAAACCTAAACCCTAAAAACTCTAATGCCCAACAGGTATGGGGTAGGGTTACAAGTGACGCGTGGGTTTTGCGTGGTCTCAGTGCATGATTGCAAAAGGGTAGGTTCGTATGTGGCGTGTTCGGCGATCGAAGCGGAGTAGGGTCGAATGCGTTGGGACGTCTAGGGTCGCATGCGACTGTCGCAGCCCTAAATGCTTGGTTTTCTGTTGGGAAGCCAGCGAGCGGCCTCCCAAACTACAGTGCACTCTGTGCAGCCAAATGACTTAATGAACCCAGGCTTCGGTCCCCTTAAAGGAAACCACCAGTTGGAAGTTGGATGGTCTTTCTATTGGTCCTTCCAATTCTCATTCGCTGCCTATCGCACCAGCAAGTGACGCCCGATCTTTCGTTCTCTGACCCCAGAAGACTATGTCCAGTGTCCATTTAGCACCCTCCACATTTCCGCTAACATGGGCTGAAATTGGCTGCAGCTCAAAACACCTTCAAGGCTCTTCGGGGCAGAGTCTTGAATTCCAGCCACCGCTTTCGCAGCGATCGCCGCGGAATCGGCCGATGCCAAGCTCCCGAGGCTGTGCAGATGGAGGGAATTGCCGCGCATGAGAGGCGCCTGTGTTGTCGAGGTCGAGCTGGAGAAACAACCTGTGATCGGTGCGATCGGTGCGATAGGTAGGGAAGATAGGGAGTTGGAATGAGAGTTGGAATGAACCCAAGCAAGGGATGAATGGTTTTTCTGGGGGTCAGACTCCAATTCTCAGGGCCCCCGATTTCGCAGCGATCGCCACAACCACCAGCTGCCTCACTGAAACTTTGGCTTACGACAAAGCTGCTGACTGAGGCGTCTTGACGGGCAAGACATGTTGCAAGCCCCGGGCTCCCAGTTTTGGTATACGCAGATACGTAGGGTGTCTTTTTGAGAAAAAGAAAACACCCAACATGGTTGGGTTGTCCTTTTGGTTTCCACTTAAGTAGCCAACAAAATGGTAGCCTCCAACATTGCCACGTCCAGTTTGCCAAAGAATGGCAAGGGTTTCCTGGCTTCCATTTGAATACCGGAGTTAGAGGGCCAATTCCTAAGCAGGGTTGTGGGAATTGCATTTCCACTGCACTTCCACTGTGATACCGGACATCGGCCTTCCAAATGACTTCTCCAAAGGGTTACAGTTCCCCGGTATCACAGAAGGGGCTTTCCCACGCAGATCCTGAGGCCACACCAACCCATCGCTTGACTGGAAAGGACACTTCCGATGATTTTTCTTTTGTGCAGTATTCAAATTGCGGCAATCGGTTGAGCTTTCTCCCAAAAGGGCACGTTGCTCGACGCATTGATAGGCGCACACCTCCCCGGCGCCCGCTCGTCTCCGGTCGTGTGTGCGGGGCTCAGTGGAGGATTCCCTTTTTGGTTTTTACTTGGCTTGGGAAACCACAAGGCAAGGGATCCCATTTTTCCACGCCCATCCCTTCTTCTGATACATTCCCAGAAGGGGCCTGACAATGCGGCGCTATGCTCACATTCCCTGCGTTTTGATCTGCGGATCTTGTGGTCCCAAGAATGAAGCAATCTCTGCACATAGCTTCTTGGGTTTCATGTCAATTCCTTGGATAAGGTGCCTTCCCCAACAAATAGCTTGTGCCATTCGGACGCGAGCTTTTTTGTTTCAACAAACACAGTTCAAGCTGGCCAAACCTCTGCCTGAACAGTTACATTAAAACGCTTAAACACATTCTGCATGCATGTACAATATTGCTCCCAGAACTTCTTAACCCCACGTGGTGAATGCTGCTACACTGGACTGAAGTGCAGAACTTTTTGGTGGGTGCAATGCCCCATTAGATACCTGGCAAATAGCGTGCGTCGCCCGCGTGTTTGATATGTTTGTGCATGAGTCCCATCCTAAACGTAGTTTGAGGGCATGTAAATAATCTTGTATGGATGCGGCTGCCTGAGACAAGTCTCTAAGCTAGTATCACCTGCAAGTGCTTTAATTGTCACTCTGGTTTGGTTTTCGCCGCACATTTGTGGTCGCACTTTCGTACTATGTGATAAGGGGACGAGGCTTGTTTAAATGCTTTGTCGGGGAAATTCCGAGTTCTCGGAAGTAGAGACTTGGCATTTCAACCGAACCTGGCTTCTGTACTTTGCGAGCTTCTCAACATGCTTTGGATCCCAACATGCTTGCAACGCTGGTCACCAATTCAAATGCTATACATGTTCTTGCTACACTAAACTGCCGAGCTGCAGCATGGGCGCAAAGTAATTTGCTTGTATATATCCATGGGATGTACTATTGTATATTGGATGTAAGCATGATATATGTTATTGTCATATTTTGCAAAGCATTCATTTTCTTATGTATTCATGGCATGGACTAGCATATCTTGGATGCGAGCACGGTATGCCTTGCTTTTTGTGATAAGTTGCTTGGGCATTGTTTTTAGCAGGTGAACCTTGAGCTAAAATCAAATTATGTTCTCACACATCTGGTTTCGGGCCTCTGAACAAAAATGCGATTCATTCCCAAGTATGATTATGTGGCAAACAAATAATTTGCCCATATCCCCAATTTGGTCTGGAGTTGTTTTTCAGCATGCGCAGGTTTCAAAGCTGGAAGCTGCAAGAATCATCATTGTTCTAATGATTTTTGTTGTGCGTACTCAAAACCACTGTAAGAACCAGTGTTTTTAATCAAAGCCGGACTAGAACTAGTAAAAGGTGGGCCCTGGGAAAGGGGCGTTACTATATGTGTGTATATATATATATATACACGTGTACATGTACACATATATATATATATATACACATCTGCATGTGTAAATCTATCAATCGAGTCATGAACAACACATGTTCCCGCCCGCCAAGTGATGTGTCTGCGGAGAAGACGGCACGAGCTCTGCTGGCATGCTTTGGTTTTGGTCGGAGGATGTTGGGGATGTCAAAATCGGGGACCAGGACCCAACAACTTTGGTTTTGCTTTTGGCCCCACATGAGCTCAACACCAAAAAGCGCATCGCCAGCAAAAATTATCCCCTCACTCTGTCCCGGAAGCGTCAACACAGGTTGGCAGTTGAACAAACGAAAGGATGGCCATTGGGCGTGTTATTTTTTTGGCACCGCCAAAATTGTGGTTTTCCTTAGTGGTTTCCCCTTCAAACCACTCAAAAATGGAGTGCCTTCAACAAAGACAGACTCACATCGATTGGCTCGGGTTTCTGAGGATACTCCCATTCAGGCATGTTTCTGCGCGAGCATCAGACAAGGACTGCGAATCCAAGAGGTGTTTGGCAGAGAAGTTTTCTTTTCGAGCGTTGGCATTTGGCTTATCCGGCAGACACCGAAGAGAGCCATGATGCAGAGCGGACGCGGCATGGGAGCTTGAGTTAGGCTTTGGTCTGTACTCCGCCAAGCCATAGAGTTCGCATGGTCACATGGCTAGTTGGGCAAAGCTGACAAAGCTGGTCAGCCGCAGCGTACATGCGTCAGACTTTCCTCACACGGCAGCACTTCCAGCCTAAAGAGACGCGTAGTGTGTGTATCCACCTCTCGGCCAAAAGCGCGGCGCGGCGCAAGCGCGCACCTGCCAGCGGCTCAGAGATGGAAGGCATGGACAAGATGCTGGCAGTGGATGAAGCTATAGGGCACAATTCATCAGTTGGTTAGTCAACATCAGCATCAGTATCAGTATCAGGTAGTAGCAATAGTGGCTGAATAAATGTGGCGGGCAAAGTTTGCAAGAGGACCTGTTCCGCTCGCCTGCTTGCAGCGGCTTCTGAAAGGAACCATCATTTCGGCGGGTCTTTTTGTAGGCCCCCCCTCCCCCCCCGAAAAAGGTGTTTTCTCCGTTTAGTTTTCCTTTGAATCCGACCCAACCAGGGGTACCACCAAAAACAGACGAGCCCGCCATGTTGCGCCGATTTGTGGAGTTGGGCGCCTTGGCTCTTGAGGGCCGGACGGACGGATGCGTGGGGACCTAAGGTTGAGAGCTTCCAGCTAGAAATGGCCGCAACTCGAAAAACGGTCCCCCAAATGGCAGAGATTTGGCCAAATGGGGGGGGACGTTGGGCTTTTTTCCGTTTGATTCCCCTTGAAGCCATTTTTCTGTTGCTGGGCACCCTGAGAGACAAGCACACGGGCCATCTACATGCACAGTGTTCCAAGTGCACCTGAAACCAACGACTTGAATCGGTTTCAACGTCAAGGCTTGGATTTTCAGATCTTGGGCTGCCTTTCTGACACTTTGTTGGCGAGTCTTTTTTGGTGGGTCCCCAAAGAACACCACACCCATGGCAGAACTTGCGCGACACGGGAATGTATCAGTCGCTTTCGGCGAGATCTCTCCCAGGCGAAATTCGGCCTGAGGCTCGTGTGGGGTGTGGGTCATTTCAACCGTGAGCTAGGTGGTACCGAATGACCGGTCGTGACGTATGTCCGTAGTTGGCATGTTTTGGAGTTTGTCGAATGTAAGTAGATAGATTTGTAGATAGATAGATAGATAGATAGATAGATAGATAGATAGATAGATAGATAGATAGATAGATAGATAGATAGATAGATAGGTAGGTAGGTAGGTAGGTAGGTAGGTAGGTAGATAGACAGAGACAGACAGACAGACAGACAGACAGGCAGGCAGACAGACAGACAGACAGACAGACAGAAAGACAGTTGAAAGGGCGCGCTGAACCCCGACAGGCGAGTCAGTGACGTGCATGGCGCGGCGCCCAGATGTGAAATTGGGCATTCGGATCCCGTTTTCCCATGGCAGATGTGGGTTCCCAATCAGAAATCGGCACCCAACATGGCAGCCTGTTTTCCTTTTGGTTCCTGTTGAACACTCAAAAGACAGGTACTCAACAGAAGACGTGCAGATGGGATTCGTTGGGTCAAAACAAACGGCAGATCGATCCAACGCGCAATGCGAGGGGAGCAGCGGGAGAATGGCCCCGAATCACGGACTTCTAGGGGGGGCTATGGCACCTGCTTTTTGGGGGGCTATCCCTGGATAACACCAGGATAAGCCAAGTGCACAAGCCCTGAATAGGGCCGCAAGGGGTTAACACAAGATACCCTCCCCTTTTCACAGCCGGAACCTGAGGAAGTGGTCCCTTTAAAAGGAACCACGGTCCAGGACCAATTCCCTGGGGCCAGGCAAAACGGGCGGGAGGGTAGCAGGAGGCTCCACTGAGGCCGGAGGCCAGCCGGGGCTTGCAGACTGGGGCTATGAAGATCTCAAAGCGGGGCGCCTGGCGCGAGAGGATCCAGTGCGCGTCGGTATTTTTTTCCCGGGCGAGGAAGGATGTTCAATCCGATTAGTAGGTTACAACCATGTTTATATCGGGGCCACCCCCAGTTGCCCTAGTTATAGCCAGGGTTCTAAGCTGCAAACTGGGCTGATTTTTTTGGGTTGCATATCTTTTCTGGAATTCACTGCAAGGAAGGCTGGCGGGTGATTTGTGCTTTAGGATCTTGCGGGTCCGCTTTTTTTTTTGTGGGGGGGTCTTTTCACCTCATGGAATTTTCGGGTTTTTGTTGGCCCCCCATGCCGCGCTTGCAGGTCATCGGTCGAGGCCAGTACGGAAAGGCAGGGCTTTCGGCTGGGAGCGAGCTGTGGATGATGTGGCTATAGGGGGGATTGGGATGTTCACTGGGGGTACGGGGTTTTGGCCCATGGCCATACTGCACTGTTCGTTTGCGGAAGTGTTTTTTTCTTCCCAAACGACCCTGGTGAACATCAAAAAAGGTGGCAAACAGATGTTCATCCACCCCAAAATGGAGCCATAGGTTATGCCCCATGGCCAAATTTCTCCGGGCCTGACATGTTTTGTTCCACCAGCATTGTTGACCGTCTCGATGGGTTGGGCGGTTTAAGGTGAGTTTAGGGTCGTTATATGCTCGTTAGGGTTGATTTTCTGGGTTTCAGGCCGGTGTGGGCCTGGGGTGGATTTGGACTGAGTGTAGTGTGAGTTTGGGTGGGTTTTCAATATGATTTTTGGACAGAGGCCTGGCTTCGGCCAGGGTGGGTTTGTGGGTTTCAGATTGGTTTTGTGTGCATTTAGGGTGGGTCTAAGGTTGGTTTAGGGTTTGCTCATCTTGGTCTAGAGTGTCTTTAGGGTGTGTTTCAGATTATTTCATGTTAGCTTAGCGTTGTTCAAGGGTGGTTGTCTGGCTGCAAGTTTGGGCTTGACCTAGGATATCTTTGGGACTGCTCAGCTTTTGGGTAGGCCACAAGATCCATGCCAAACGCCACCAACGCAGAATGAAAGCCAGAAGCCGCTGGAGCACACATCCCCTCAAAATGACCATTTGCCGTAGAGTGGGTAAGGAAAGCACGAGAGAGAGAGAGAGAGAGAGATTGCACTACAAGACACGAATCACTTTTCGATCTTTGCCTCTCGGGCAAAGTGTCGAGTGGCGACGTGTCCGGGATTTGTGAGAGGCTCACTTGGTTCGCAGCGGCAGTGATGACCAATACTTCATTGCCTGGTACCCAGGGCGCAACTTTCGATGCTTTCTCGTGGCTCTATGTTTTTCGCTTTTTCTCCGGAATTCGCACGGGGCGGGTAGACTATGTTTCGGGGCAGGTGTCAAGCAGCGGACCAACAGGAGTACAGCATTCATGTCTCGCCTTATTTGTGCCGACCTCCCAGCTGCTTTAAGGAGTTTGCGGGATGGCTTGCTGTGTAGGTCAGCAGGTCTCGCGCCTGTCCTCGCAAGAATTCGGCAAAGTACCTGGTGCAACGGCGCAGTTCTGCACCCGAATAAGTCTAGGGTAGGTGTCAACAGTGGGGACCCCCCAACGTGGTGGCTTTCCTGTTGCTTTCTCTTTAAACCAATCTCTGCTTGAGTGTAGCCCCAAGAAGCACCACAGACCACATACATGAGATCGCAACGATACCAGGGTACCCTTAAAAAAGCGGGCCCTCGATCTTCGCACAAACCCATCAGCCCCTCCCCCTGGCATTCTGAGGCGAAGACCATCGACCTCACATGCCTGTCTAGCAAGGCCTTCGGACATGAAAGGTCGAGCATCCAAACCCCCCAAAAGGGCAATTTTGCGTGCCGGTTCCACCACCTGGTGGAAATAGGGAGTATAGTGCATCTTAGAGGACCAACCCTATGGGTGTTGGGCGCAGCTAAAAATGCGGCATGCGCCTAGATGTGTGTGTGTGTGTGTGTGTGTGTGTGTGTGTGTGCGCGAGAGCGTATGCGGCGGGTCCGCGATTCAATTGGTTGATCGACCAGGAGCAGGAGACTGCCTTCCAGGAGGTTGCCCTCTTGAGACGCCCGGGGCCCGCACTTTCGGTATCCATCATGTTTACCTGGCTGGTTCGATAGGCAGGGAATGAGAAAGGGAATGACCCCGAGAAAAGCCCATCCATCCTATGGTTCCTTCAAGGGAATCCCCTCCCGGTTCATTCCCAAAACCCGGCAGGTCATTCCCCACTGAGCAAGCCCTGTGGTTTCCTTCATTCGGGAATCCATTCCCACAACTGGTTCCTGCCCAACAAACCCGGAAGGTCTGGTTTGGCGGTTTCCCATTTCCCGGTAGAAGTTTTTCGGGATCCGAGGCCTAGACCACCCGAACATTGTTTCGTACAGAGACAACTTCTTCATGGGGGCCGGCGGCCCAGAGACGAGGGGCGTTTTGCTCCTGGGGGTACTTGCGAGTGAATCCTGTGGATGTCTGTCATTGAGAAGCCGAATCAACGGTTTCTCATTCGATTCCCCAAATCAAATACCAAGACACGTCATGGTTTCAACCCAGGTTTCCTAGGTCCTAGGTGGTGTGAAATGGATTTCGTCCAACTCACTTAGGGTCCCAATACTCAAAGGGGAGGGCCATTCACCATTTGACAGCGTATTGTTTTTGGTCTCCATCACCAGGGATACATG